GTAGATTTGTTGAATCAATAAAGTTTTTAATTTTAGTTCTTTCAGCAAATTTTTTTTCCACTTGTGTATAAACCGTAGATAAACATCTTTACTATCATAAATGATTTGCATATGAACAAGTAGAGAGAAATGATTTTGTTTTAGGGGCCAATTAAGGGGAAACAAATAAGGGGAAACAATGATATTTGTTTAAAAAACAAATTAGTTACTATTGCAAATTAATTAATCATTCGTCAACGTAACAAATAATCAATAATCGCTTGCAAATAAAAAGTTCACATATAGAAGTCGTAGATGGTCACAAAATCTCAAATCGTAAGAAATTGGCCAATTCTAGTCGAATATTTTCCCTATATTTGATTGTGATTAGTTGGTTTCCTACGACTTAAGACTCCACGATCATCTGCGATTTCTATGTAAATGAATCTAAAGTTTATCCAAAAGTTCATCCAAAAGATAAATTACATTCTATATAGTTAGTTTCTGTTACTAATAATTGGTTGGTGCAGACTAGCAGCAATTACAACAAATCAATTTGTTGTCACATATTTATAGATCACTTGTTAAAGATACTGATTGTTAAATTAACAAAATTCTTTCTCTCAGTGAAAAGAATACGATCTACTTTTTTATCACATTTTCCTCCACGGTGACCTGCAAACCTAAATCATTTCGATTGCCGTTTCAGAACTTTCGTAGGGGTCACTTCTCATTACGTGAATAACTGTGCTGAGACAAACTTAATCGCAGTGAGATTAAGAGGAAAGCTTTCAGTTGTGGTAATTGAGGAATTCTCCTCAATCGTGACATTTAAGAAGTTATTCCTTTGAATACGAAAATATCGGGCAAGCTTTTACCGAATAGGAAATGATGTTCTATACATCTCTAATACAATCTCGTTCATTTCATTTCTGCTCCTGGGCATTGATTAAGAAATTGGCTCATTAATTAAAGAGAAAATGACAAAGAGGAATCAAGTTTTAATAGTTTCTAATATTATAAAAGTACAACAAATTGAAATTCTTATAATAGGGTAATTAATATTTTATGCAGACTCTTGTTATTTTGAACGGTTAATATCTAAATTGTTAGAGAATGATTATTATTATATATAACTCTATAAATTATTAATTATATTATATTACTGTTTAAAATCGCCCAGAATTAATCACGTCAATAATTCATCTTCTCGCTAGAATATAAACTCTCTTTGAAATATGATATCCAGTATCTCAATTCTGTAACTCTTAACGACAATTCCATATCGTATTATGTTATCGTTTTTTGCACAACATTTTTATTATTATATAATATTTACGTAATGGCAATATAACGATATTAAGAGTTGCAGAATCGAGATACCAATCTCAAAGCTACAAAGGTGCAAAAAGATCCACTCGAACGAAAGAAACTTTCTTGTATGAAGAGCGATGTACGCATGTATTACCAAATGTTCAAGTGTCATAATGTCTGACGGCGGCAACCACACTTTGCTGAGCGAGATTAAAAAAAGGATCTTGGATCTACACGGATCTTTTGTGCCCTCCGGGGATCCGAGACAAAGGAGAAGGGATTCCTCTCGTGTACTCAAGCGTAGGATCGTAGGAAGCACAAGCGGCTGCGCGTTAGCCGATACCGCCGCTAAAACTCCTCCTGGCAGACAAGGGTTGGCGAATATTACGGGGTAACAGTGCGCGGACCGCCACCACGCGACGCGGTTGCTCCTTCGCGGTGTATCGCTCTGAACAAGAGCGATACTGAGAGACCACCCGTCAGCATACGCGAGTATCCTTGAAAGCTTGCCCCACAAGCAAGTGGTTGCATCGTGAAAAAAAAAATCGAACGTCATATCACAGCGTCATCGTGCTTGCTCGTCTCAGTTGAGAGATAGAAAGAGAAAAAGAAAAAAAGGCAATAAATATAGTTAGCAATTTAGACGAAAGCACACGCGTCATGTTTGAAATAAGCCCCAGGGACACGATGCGTCGTTTCATTAATTTACCCGCCAAATTGAACGCGGGGAATTTCGGCTCTGTACTAACTTTCCCGAAAATAATATTGCCAGTGCAGTGCGAGTCACTTCATCGAGACTGAAATGATTGTTGCTCCATTTGAAAATTTAACAGCTGTGGAGAATAACGCGATCCGCAAATTCGAGACAATTAAGAACTCGTAAAAGATTTGTTTTTTGATTCAGCATTGTTCGAAATTCTGATATGTGAAAGATATATGTTCAAGCGTTTATCTAATATCGACTATGAGAGTCCAACTGTTGATTATATTGTTTTAATTATTTGACACTATCTTGATATTCGAGAGTGCTTCAAAAATATTTAGTTACAACGGTACTAGCTGACCAGTGTCGAGATAATCCTGAAATACAATCGTTACCGTGGAATAATCAGAGAGGGCGATCCTGTGGGATCAAAGGGCGGCAGCTCCCTATCCAGTGCGTAAATTGGGTGTCGTGCGATACATAAATTGGACGCGCCATGATGAAGAGTTTCAGTGACACTTTCCCGAAACAATCGAGTGGACATTGAATCACGAGAAGTAGCTGGACCGCCGAATACTAATCCCTGAATGTTAAAAACGGCGTCCAGCCGAACTCAAAAGAGGTAACGGAATAATCGGAAGAGATCCGCCTGCGAAAGTTAGCAAAGAGATTCGTGCCGGAATCAATTTCTGGTGAAACTGTGTGCGAGAGAAATGTGGCCAGGAGAGGAATGCCGCACAACTTTACGGTAATTCGCGTGCTTATCCGCTTTGCTTTACCTTTTCAGTCCCGCACCTTAAAGCGGCCAGAATGTCGACTTTAACAACTCTAGAGAATGACGATTCATCTCTCGTAGTACGCAATAAATACCCGATATTTAACGTGTTCCTTTTTGTCTCTGGAATCCGTTTATCGAAGGATTTTTCAACGGGTATCGACAGATATTTTCCGACGACAATGCGTGCACTTTGTTTAATGATCAATGGATTGCAGTTTATACATATAGAGCTGCCTGATGGCAGTTGCAGATTTATATTGTAGTTTCAATTAGCAAATTGTTTATATATTAATATTTTACAGAATGTATTTCAACACAATGTGAATAAATATAGTAATTATAATTACAGATGGAGAAATTACTTGAAAAATGATTAAATTTATAAGCATAATGGTATGGTCTTGCAAAGAGAATATATTTTAATTTAATGTAACTTTCAAATAAATTTACATAACTTTCTTAGTTCATTCATAATAACGCGAAGTCACTGACGTGATCTTCATAATATAATATTTATTGCTAAAATATGCACGGAAAAAAATAATTACTCAAAATTTATTCGAAAATTTTTTTTTTAATTAAAAAATTTAGGTAGATACACGGATCTAAAAATAATTTTGTTGATCATCAAAATACATAGAAAACTTAAATATAATGAATAATACTGCAAAAAGTTTTGACATTCTCCAACTAGTAATAAAACTAGTAATGCTTAAGCATCTTACATAATTATTTTGTCCAATTTGATTTCAGATTTATATATAGACAAATTTTTAGAAACTTCAACAAAATCATTCTTTCCGAGATGTATTTTACAGAACGCTTACTCGCTTGCAATCATTTTCCTTTTAACTTTGCTGACTTGTCTTTCACAGAAAATTAAAACCGTTAACGAACTTGAGGACTATACACCCTTCTCAGATTTTTCTTGTATTTAGTGCTTCATGTGTGAGAAAAACGCACGCTTCACCTGAAGCTTCCTCTGGTATTCCATCGACATTGAGAAACCCAATATCTTCCAGTATTTTGAAGCAAATCATGCTAAAAACTTCGTCGCTCATGTAACATGCGAACTGAACTATCCAACTGAAATCCAACTGTTTTCATGGATTTCTCGATAGCAGTATTTGCCGCGATATTTTCCCATTTTCTTGAAAGAGGATCGATATCGCATATCGAGTATCATTATTAGCACATAAAATACATCTATCGATTATTTCGCTTCTCATAGATAATGATTTAATTAATAGTACATTAAGATGTCAATGTATTCAAAGTTGCAAATTGGATAAGTGCGCGATAAACTTCTTAACGTCACTTGCAACCTTCGACATACCAATTCAAAATAATCTGCTAATCCAGATTTAAATGACTTATAAGTACATTGAAACAGATGTCGATTAGCTCGTAAAATAGCATTATACGACAAGGAATTGAGAAACGAAACTGTTTCAACTTGTAATCCACGCTTATCTGACCAACTTTAATGAAACCATTTCCGTAGAATCTCAAATTTAATCTTAACTGCATGTCGGATTTGTTTATTTCTATAGGTTGTTTTGTTGGAAAACATTACATTTATGTTTATAAAGAAGTTTAGAGAACATATTAATTTATCACATTTCCTCATTAAGCATCACTTCAATTGAAATAATAAAATGGACTGACAATTTTATTAAAAGATACAATTTATATATAATTATATAAAATAAAATTTTATTTGTAAATTCAGCCAATTTGTTAAAAACAATTTATAAGAATATATTATAAATTGAAGATGTAGTCGATATATATTATAAGAATTACGTTTTGTAAGCAGACAATACGAACAGAATCTTCTCTAGATTTACCTTCAATTAGCCATTAACTGCTTAACAAAAAATAATGTTCTGAAAAGTTTTTTACAATCATTAAGGAGAAAGAATTTTTCTTTGTAGATTATTTAAAGGTTACTTAAAGGTCTGGAGATCTATTCAGTCTTCTAAGTTTCTCACGAAGCTTCTTTGCATCTTCTTCTCCTTTTAGTTGTCTGCTTATCTCCATTATGTATTGCTCTCGGAAAATTTTGTTGTAAAAAAAAACATGATTTTTTACAGGTAACAATAACAAAAAATTAATGTAAATATACATGTGTATTCGTATATTTTTACATGCACTGAAAGAGCAATTTTGTTGAAGAATTTAAAAATGTGGATTGATACAAATTTCAATAATTTCGTTAAACTATCAAAATAATTTTGCAGGAATTTTAAGCATGATGAGCAACGCAAAATATTCTGATATTCTAGCAACCAATTTTGTCGGTCTTAATTGTTTTAATAGTTCAGCAAAATTAATTTTCAAATCTGTATTTAGCTAAATTTTTAGATTTTTCAGCAAAATTTCTCTTTCAGTGCGTGTATTGAAATATGTGGATATACATGTGTTTCATGTAATAATAATAAGTAAATAACAAAGCAATAGAAGTCGTCGCAAGAAATAATTGCGCAAGTGTCATAAATTACATTAAAAAATTACATTTCTAAAATACATTGAACATTATATTGAATTAAAAACCTATTTCGGCTCATATTTGAGCCATTTTTAGTAGAAAAAGTTAATAATGGGAACGAATTATTGTGCCATAAGTGGATCTCGATTAATCCGCTCGTATTCTGTCAATATTATAATAAAAAGATGTTATTGTGCTCTTTATTTTCATAATAAAGTCTGCGATGAGGTAAGATTCTTTCTCAACATTAATCAATGTTGACCATTGCAGTTACTGAGTGCTAATGCACTCCATCTAATTGTAAAGAAAGCCTCCATCTAATTGTAAGATATTTTTCATATATTATAACTGTTAACTAAAAATAATTAAAAATAAGAAAATTCGAAACTATCTAATTAATTCATCTCACAACGACGAAATCAAAAATGCAACACAATTAATATTAAATGTCCAAATAATGATGTTCAACCGGTCAATAATTTAAGATTATAAGAAATCAAAGATTATAATATAAACGTGTCAATTTATTAGATGTATAGGATGACTATGTAGCTGTTACAGTGACATTAAAGCCAAAAAGAAAACAATAACTGTGTTTACAATTTATTGAGTATCTTTACGTAGCCACATTATTTAAGCCCTCTGTGGCCGTTTGCATATTCAAACCATTTAATTGGATATGTATTTTAGTACTCTCGTATCCATATATTAAAAATTACACAGATTAAAACACGAATGTATTAATTACATGATATATACGTATACGAATGTATTTGAATGCATTTTCAATACATTCAAAATCATTTCAATACATTCAAAATCAATTTCTAAAAACAACATTATAATAGCTAAAATCATTAGAACAAATATAGAAGTATAGAAAAATAGGCTCGTGTATTGTCATTAGAACAAGTTGAATATTATTGACGAATTGGGTGAAATAATATCTTATTAATAGAAAATAAAATACAGAAAGTATAAAAAATGACCTTACTCTAAGATACAATCTCTTAATTATTAAATATCTGATATAGTGTAATAAATATTCAATTTTATTGCCTGTTTGATTGATCTAGTTTATTACAGTAAGTTTTTAATGCAAGTAGATGTTCGAGAAGCCGATATATTCACGTCCTATACATAATTTCGGAGAAATTCCTTCAATGACTCTATGGATACCAGAGATAGCAAACTCTCACCATAATCATTTATTTATTAAATTTTTATTTAAGTCTTTCCAAAATTTTCAGATTTGATGATGATCGTATTATAAGTAAAAAAAATAATCACGATTTGTAATCGAATTTGCGCCAATATAATTTCCGCAAAGTTTAATAGTAATAATTTGAAAATGATTTGCTAAATAATTTGTAAGTGCGCAATAATATCTGCGAGCATTTCCGACTTCATATCACGGACACCATCAGGCATCTGAGATATTTCTTGATCAAACACACCTCACATATTCCCGACTTCCGGTATGGATGACATATAGGAGAAATACCGGAACTATCTGTCCTATAACACATCACTCACCGTCTCTCTATTCGAATTGAATCCACCACCCACCCTTTACTGAGACATACGTGGGACGCACGACCGCAATTTACGGTAGGTCAGGTTTGATGGATATCTACTCCTTTGCGAGATTCCGCATCTTTCGCGTTTATGTCAATGGACAAGTTTTAGGAGTATCGGCGCCATCCTTCGCAGAAAAACATTAAAATAAAAGCAGTTTTATTATAGTAAGCAAGATAATACTCCTGGCCGACACAATAAATAATGACACAACCTAGAATTGTAGCTCATAAATATAAAATGATTAATAAGATCGACGAGAAAAAAGGGTAGAAAAAATTATTGAATATGATTAATAGCACACGAAACTGTATTGATTGTAGCAGAGAGTATTAAAATAAATTAACGTATACAATTTAAAAAGTGAATAGACATGATTGAGACACTTACTATCGCTAGATCTCAATATAGATTATCCTAATTAATTGTTCTAAATTGTATAAGCTTCAATTTCTTTTTACAATTACTTAGAATATTGTAGAATCTTCTTAGATATGCTTAACTTTTTATTGAGAAACTTTTCATTCGGAATTAGAGAAAAGAATAGGAAAGACTCATACGATCTGTAAGTTAATAGCTGATTGCAAGCAAAAAATGTATTGTATTTACAGAAGAAATATACTCTTCTTTATCGATATTTCCGATGTTAATACTTTTCAATCATTTATCATTCTTTTTATTAGCTGTCACCGGTTCATATTAACTCCATTTGAAATCTGAAATGTACAGTATATGTGTCGAGCTTTTACATATTTCATATATATTTATATGTACACGTACGATATTATCTAATTGTAATGGAAATCTAATGAAAACGATATGACATAGGTTACACATTGTTAAAGAGAGAAAGAGAGAGAGAGAGAGAGAGAGAGAGAAAGATCAATTTTTATTTGAATATAGTTGAATTAAATTTTCATTTATACCTTTTAAGACCATATTTAAAAAAAATTTGTTTTATAAGAATAAATAAGTAAAAATTGTAAGAGCAACAGATTGCCAAAGGTATAATAATATATGCGTAGAATTAATTACATTTGTTCTATTATTTTTGCTTGTTATACGTCGTCGAGTTGTGTATATTTAAAACATTTAAGCGAGGTCAACAATTTCATTGCTCGAATGAAAAGTTAGTCAGCCCGTTAAACTACCTTTTACGATTCTCGTGGTTGTTTCCACATTGCGCCAGTATTAAGCAGATTACACGACGAAGTTTTTTCAAAGGATAAATGTACGTTTTACTAAATGAGCAGCTCACTTTTTCGACGACAAGCGTCATTCGCAAAATCTCGTAATTCAAGATGAAAAAGAAATAACTTGACAAAAATACAAGACCTAAAATGATTCGTGCTAACATGCTATAACTTCCGAATTCCTTTTCTCTTCGAAAGAAGGTAAGGTCGACAGCCGCCGAGCTTCACGAAACATTTCGTGTACCTTCATAACAGAGTTTGGAGCTAACAGCGTTACTAGCGCACGATACTACCATGTAATTACATTATGTCTTAATAGATCTTTCGACTGCGACAAAGGGGCGATAAATGCCGCTGGACACTTACCTGCGAGCATCGACTTATCTTAATTGTAAAAGATATTAATCTTCTTGCGGTTCGTATTTGTACAATAAAATCAGGTATATTTCTATTTATCATATCATTGTTACACTTGTTACAAATTTTATAACTTTTTTGCACCTCATCTTGACCGCGTGTACCAACGTAGATAAAACGCGCTCAGCCCAAAGATTTCTCTAATCTCGTTTGAGACCTTTACCTATTACCTGTCGATGGAAATCAAATTATTGCGTCAGCTTAATTTCATCGTTTTTCTTTTGCAATTTTATCTCATATTTTCAAACACGCTTCGATATTGTTATTATATTAGATATTCGTGTTCTATTGTTCGCAAAAATGAATATTGACTTCTTATTTAATTACACGTCAGATATTATGAATTCATTATAAATAATATTACAACTTAATAATAAACTTTAATAATAACTATTTTTATTAACCTCAATATACTTAATGTAAACAAATTTTATTCCTGCATTCTGAAAAATAAAATACAAGAATATAATATTTATTAATATATATTTAATATATATTTAAATCTACATATTATCACTCGTTTCGTACACAAGTATAAGATCCGTGTAAAAAGAAATGAGATTAACGAGTTCTGATACGGGATAAGCTTTAAATTCTTAGCATAATTAAAGGGAAGCCCCAAAGTGGCTCGTAAATGTAATACAGTGTCGCAGTTATATTTTCTGGGACGTAATACCTCCATCTGAATTTCATTTGTGTTTGCTTGCCAATTTAATGAAATTATTTCATTCCTGTAAGCCTATTATATTTGGAATTGAGAACGTCGAATCTTCCAAGTGTAAAATCATCCCGGCGTAATATCGGGTTAACCGGTCGAGAATTTACGTATGAATATTTCCGTTAGCAAATTACTTTATTTTCCAATTACACAGATGAGCTTTATTACGATCACTATAATATTCCGATAATTATTGTAAATTATATTTAGGGCGTATTATATTATATTATATATAATATACACGCGTAATATTCTTTTGTTACAAAAACAAGTATTAGATAAGAGTTTTGCGAATGCAGATTGAATATAAAATATTTTTGCAGAAAAATAACAAAACTTTTCTTTGCGCGAGATATACGAAAGGTTTCGATGCTGGAGAGTTGGAGAGTGGTATCTGTAACACAAGTGAATAAACTTTTTGCCTATAAATAGCGAAAGGCTCAAATAGTTTTACGACTTACTTGTCTGTATTGCGCGTTACCTGATTTATCCGCAGGTACTTTTTCGATCTCAGAGATAGAAAAGAAGAACGTAATAAAAAGTATGGACCTCGATATTGATTTCGTGTATTACAAAAAAACAGTCATCCTATTGCGTTATAGTAATACATATGCAGAAGAAATATTTGTAAAAAGTAATTTGTATTATTAAATATAACGTTAATTCAGGGAATAGTCACTTGATTTTTTTTACGTAAACAATTATCTGGAATGTTTTCTTAAATTTTAATTTTTTAATTAAAATCATTATTAATAATAATATTGTATATTATTGTTTGTTTTTCGATTTATTTTATTTAATATTTGAGAACATTTATAAATATGAAATTTAATTACAATTTTTGTCTAAAGTAAGCAGAAATCAAACAAATATCAAATAAAATAAGTATGTTAAATAGGTTAGTATTTCCAAAATAAAAATTTTAGTTAATATAACACTTTTGTATTTTTCATCGAAAACGCGAGTTTTCGATGAGATTGCATATTTAATGATTCGTAAAGAATAATTATTAAAAGAATGTACAGCAAACAATATTTCAATAGTTTATATTTTTCATCATTGGATCTAAAAATATTTCAAGTATTTATTCTCAGGTTAAGTGAACCTCTAAATTAAAATTGCAAAATAAAGACTTGCAAAATTAAGCTCGACAAAAATTGATTATCCACGAATAGCCTTTTATTTTCAATTGTATTTACAGTCTGTAATAATAATAACGTTCTATCGTTTTTGATTTCTATTGTAACAATTCAGACTCAGTCTCATGACACGATCTCTTTTTTTGCAGATGAGGAGGAACCGGAAGAGAGCCTCGAGTCGTCACAGAATCGACGACTGATTATGACGCGCGTCCGCACGCGGTGGCATTTCTCTCGTCTCCTCCTGTTGTTCTCTTCCTCCGGAGCCCTTCAGGCACATCACTACCTGACCCTTCTCCTTCTCGGCCTTACCTCACTCCACACAACCTTAACGTGTGACGAGAAGACGAGGCCCCAGAGCCGTGACCTGAGCACGCTTCCCCGTTACCTTGAAATACAGAGACACTCGAAGTGGATAGACCTCGGCGTTACCGGAGTGATTCCGGAATGGATGCAACGCGAAAACGAAGCTTTAAGCATGGCTGGTCAAAGTGCTAGCGACGTGGCCAATAACGATCATCCCAGTGATTCGCTAAAAACTCAATGGAACCACGATGGATTCGATCCGTTAATAACAAAACGAGCTTATTTCAACGATGATATCTTCGCAAGCCGTGTTAACGATCGAGTGTATTCTAAATACGCAAATTATTATTCGAAACGGAAATCTGACGATCGATTAAGTAATCCTGCGAAAACTCGACAAGTTCGTAACGGAAGCAATTTTCAAAGTATGAAGCAGCGTGAAGAAAGTGCGAAGAAATGGTTGAGTAATCTGATCAAAAAACGACATGACGTGCCAAAGCTTCAAGTTACTCCTTATTACTTGGTGAATCAGGCTGTGAACAAAGTTCATTTTCGCGATAGTGATAATGAAGCAAGCGTAACAATTTTAAATGGACCTCGCCGAAGTGCCAGCAATCTACCCGAGAGTTCCGTTCACGATCGCGATGCCGAGGAGGCATTAATCGACGTTCCGATCGATCAGTTGGATTCGCGCGAGGCTCCAAGTGTCAGTTATCCGACGAGGAATCGACGAGATCGTAATGAAGTCAGTTTCAAGGCAGAACGAGCGAATCTAAACGGTGATAATTTATTCGAAACTCCCGTTAATTATGCGAATAAACGCACAAGCAATTATTCGGCCCATCGAAGTTCACGAAGGAGTGAGGTCTCAAGCCGATTGAGCAAGAGCGATATTGACGAGCATCACGATAATCTCGCGAGTGATCGAAGCGGGATTGTCGGCTTCTGGACCGCGAGACAAACTCATTTAAACCGTCGCAATATACATGCACTTGATAATCGAAGCGACGGTGCACGCAAATTTGGAAGCCAGGCCGACCGGCTTTACAAAAGCGACGATATCGTAATAAATGACGTTCGTAATGAGTTCACGAACGCGAACACGAACGATTCAGTCAATGCAATCGCGATTGACGCGGTTGCCGATGACTTCGACATTGGCACCATTTCAATCGAGAATCAAAACCCAATCGAACTCAATGGAATTTCGGAAATTGAGAATCGGACTGATGTCAACTCGGAGTACGTCGATAGTTTCTTGGATCTCAGTGCGGAAATTTCCCCGGCGAATTGTCGTAACGTCGCGTGCTCCAAGTCGAGTGGTGGCGACGTATCGATGATTAAAATAAAGAAGTTTGGTGAAACGACGGAATCCCAAGAAGATCAAGAGTACGAGGACGAAGATCATTTTCAGCGAGTAGGCGAAATAACGGCGATGCCTGGTAACGACAGTAATACCGATATCGACAGCGAAGCGCCTTTCACTGGCTTCGAGGGCTCTCAGAAATTTCCCGTAAAAATCAATCACAAGTCGCCGCCGATGCCGCCGCAAGTTGAAAAGTTTGACAGGCGACACTTCGGCCCGCACAAGGAAGACGTAGTATTTGAAGAAACATCTACATGGTCCCCGAGTATCCTGCTTCCCGATCTACCAAAGAGTCCCAGCAAAAACGTGCTTCATCGCAAAACGAATGATCACATTTCCAACGACGACGTAAACGAGATGGACAAAACGGACAATAGAAGTGAAGAGACGACGGAGATGGACGAGAAGCGGAATAATACTTACGACGAATCATGGCTACCCGGCACCGAAATATCGGGAGGACATTTGTCGGGCTTCTCAGATGTCGGGAACTCCGACGAAAAATTCGCAGTGACGTCGAACATCGCAGATAGTGAATTTGAAAACGCGACGCGCGACAGGAACGATTCCGACAGCAGGACGAAGATCGACGTAACGATACCTAGTGTGAGACCGATAGAGAAAATAAATATAACTATCCTGGGTCTCTTTGAGATGACACACAGGGCAGTACCGAGACTGGAAGGTTCCAGTGAACTTCAAGCGGCTAAATTGGCGGTTGAGCGTGTCAACGAATTGGATATCTTAAAGCGCTTTCGTCTGCGGCTTATTTATAATGATACTAAGGTGAGAGTTAGCTAATTAACAAAGAAGAAGTATTGTTGTATTTAGTACGCAAGAAAACACATTTCACTATTAAATAAGGCTGATATTCATATAATGGGTTTTTAAATTTAAAACCATATTAAATAGCTTAAGCTGAAATAAGTCAATCACAGAGCCATGATTTAGTAGCATCTTAAAACATTAATTAAGACGGTTTTAAAATAAAAACGGACTGAATACCGGGTCTGAAAATATTAACATTTTATTTAATAAAAAAAACCAAACAAATAAGTTATTTATGAAAATAAAAAAGTAATAAAAATCAAATATTTCAGTATAAATGGCAATTATTAAAAAGTCGAAAAGTTTCAGAATTCTATTTTTTATACATAAGAAATATAATATTAATCTAATAAGTAGAAATAATGTTAATAATGATTACTTGGTATTTTGTTTTAACAATAACTATAATGATAATGAAACAATTGGATCTCTTCTTACACAGAACATTAAATTAATTCAATAAACTTAGAAACGAGTGCTTACATTATATCTAAGATAAAAATTACACAATAGAGAAGTGAATTAATACAAGACAAATGAACGCTGATTTGAAACAATTTCCGCACTTCCGCATCATTACTATCCTTGTTCACAATTGATTTCCATGTCCGATTACCGATACAGAACTTGTGCGATCCCCGAGAAGTTGTACCAAATCTATTCAAGTCTACTTTGAATCCCAGCAGCAAGAAATTATTGGAACATTGGAACGCAATTTAACTTATACAAGTCTGTAAATCAGCTTACTGTTACTCCGTATAAATTTTTCCAAATATCGAAAAATACTTTATTCTGTTTCATCAATCAACAAAGCCAATTGAAGTGACATCACGATTAAAGAAACAAAGGCGATATATAGCGATCGGTCAGTTATAGTCAATAGATTTTTCTTTATGTGAAAAGTAAACTGTTTTAATGTTATGCAATATTAAGAGAAAATCGACCGATGACATTAAATATATATGAATGGAAAACTCCATATTCGGCTAAGGCGTTTAATAATATTTCTTGAAAATTTTTACAATAAATTATTTAGAGGATTTTAAAGATGCTTATTAGCATCGATAATATTAAATTGTTTGTCAATTTAACTTGTAAAATTATTATTTCAGCGTCAGCTTAAGACTGTATTTCAAAACAAATAATTGGCGTACAGTTTGCTCGCAGAGAGAAAAAATTTGTTACGAACGTTAATCCTTTGCCATGACAGCATTTGCACGTATAGGAATCGCAAATTATTTGTAGGTGTAACGAATATTTATTCTTTTTTGTATTCGTATCAAAACTTATTTGCAACAAATGCACAATATTTATCAAATATGCAAATTGTTTGATAAACAAATTTGACAATTAAATTTTGTAATTCCTTTCGCGTTTATCGTAAACTTTTTCTCTCTATACTTGAATTGGAAATTATATAAATTCATAAAAAATATTATTAGGCACAAAGAACTGAATATGGCATTTTCTCATATGTTTAAAATTATATACAATATTTTATTTCGTTTATTTTACTTTACTACAAGAAATACAATAGACGTTAATAGGCTTTCGTCAAATACGTATCAAATTAGAAAAAACGGAAACAAAAGCGAGAATTAAAGTCCGCGAATTTCTCAGATCCTCTCAGTTGTCACTAACACATTGTGTCAGGATTTTCCGGGCTTCCGTTTTGAAATTTATACTTTATTGGCAGTAGAACTCTTGTCTATCGCCCGCACCCGTCTTCTCGTTTTATCTCTTAAGCGTTTTAGAAATGATACGCGTACCATCCGTCGAAAAATTGAGAAATATACCTAAATGATGGCAATTGACGTTACTGGTTGCGTCATTACATGAGCGACGTTAAGTTTACAGAAGCAATGATGATTTTGCAGTGGAATTACTTCTTTCTCTGCTGATCAAATATATAGCACTGTGGAATATAGCACACAAACTAAGCACACGTATATTATATCCTCTCTCTGTGTGTGTGTGTGTGTGTGTGTGTGTGTGTGTGTGTGTGTGTGTATATTCGCAATCAAACTTTTACCAATTTTTCTATAACGATGCTTAAATCACATCATTTTTATGATAATCAAATCTCTCGGCCGTTGAATAAAATCTCATATTGGGAAGTCAACTAAGCGATAATATCGCTTGGAATCTCTCTCATGCGTTTACGTATTATAAAAAATAGTTCTGCGTTTGTATTATGATGCGCTTATACGAGGCGTATGATAAGATATGCGAAGGCTTCACGCGCGATTACTTTGACGTTATCAGGAGAACACCGTGTAATACGCGATATGAGAAAACACTGTGCGGATTTGCATAATGTAAGGCATAAGAGAAAACGATGGGGAAGAGATAACGCTGCGAAAATGCGTTAACGTACAATGAGGCATGAGATAAATAATTTATCTCGTACTTGAGGACAGAATTAAAGCGCTGAATTAATCTTGAATTTATAATTTTTAGGCATCTGAGCTCTTCCAGAGCGCTGTTTGTAAGCCTCTCAAACTACTTCTAATCTCTCTGCAGCTCACAAATTCTCTACTTGCGCGACAATGTCGCACGGTCCTCCGGCGACAAGCCGAAACCGTTGTCAGATGTCTCGCCTCCGAAATAGCTTTGAATATCTTCTGGCGCGAGCTAACTACCATACGCGTTCCAATAGTTTGCGGTGCTTCCAGCGCATACGAAATACTCTTCGTAATGCTCGCTCATGTTGCATTTTGAAATTTAATGATGGTGATCGGTTCTTGTCCTGTTCTTTGGTTACACAGACTTGCGACGAAAGCTGCTTTAAAAAAGAATATATGAACTAATGAAATACATATTCTATGCATTTCAGAGGTAAACTGTATATAGAGTATAATTCCATATAAGAGCAATTCAAATTTTACTTTGTCGATTCCTAGAGACTTTTCGCGTTAATTTGTGTAAATATACTAAGCAAAAATGTGTACGTTCAATTAAAACTCTTCTTTACATTATAGTATATTGAACAATCCCCTATTTGCGTTAGTAATGGAACGAGATCGTTAAACAGACGGGAGATTTTTTTCCCAATTTCATCCTCTTTTCTCACTTCTATTACAGGTAATTTCCATTTTCACACGCGCATTGCACTACATCCATTCGCTAGAAAATGACGAAATCAAATGAGACCTCTGGCTTTCTCGATACCTCTAACAACCTCTCGTTGCATAAGAAGTAATGCACAATATGTAAATGTATTTTTTACGCTCGCTGAAGGCAGAATTCTTATAATTTTGTCAACTCTATATGCCATTCCATCGCTAAAATATTACAAAATTATTCTAATACATGCAACTGTAATTAGGTCTTATTTGAAAAAAAGGAACCTGCTGCCTGTTGAAATGATCTATATAGTCTCTGCGAGAAGCAACGGAAAAGAGAAATTTCATTTCCAGCACGATTCGCGCTCTGACGGTCATCTGAAATTTGGACAGATTTCAAACGAATTGGCAAATGCCATTAGCGTGCATACCGAATGCAGCTTACGAAACAAACTGACCTCGTGTTTACCCTAAAAGAGGGAGAGTGAGAGGTGGCACGAATTGCGGTTTGGTCACGAACGCGGCGCGATTAAACCCACGTTTTGTTTCGTCCGCATTTGGATGAAGGCAAAGCGTCGAGAATTACCACGCGTTTGAAAGTTCACACTATGGTACGCCTCCGCAACATTAAATCCTAAATAGTTTTGCATACACACAACGTTTATTTAATGGTGCGACACTCGCCAGTAGGTGTAACACCTGTCGAGCTCGAACAATATCCGCAATATAACTCGAAATTTTATAATGTATATTAATATTATAAATTTATAACATGAGTGTACATATTGTCATCATGTATTTTGCAATTAATGGATACCTTTGCACAGGAAAGTTCGTATAACTCATCAAAGGAGCTGACATAACGTTAAAGATTAATTAATTCGAGAGAGCTTCGCTATTCTTGAAATCTTTATTGACATTTGTAATCACGCGAAAGAGCTAGCTATCTTTTTAAAATTTCACAACATACTACATTGTTATGATTGTATTCCGTGTACAAAGCCGAATGACGTGCGTAATCTTAATGGAGTAGTTAAAAACGGGAGATGAGAAAATCTGCTAGTCTCTTGCATTAAAGAGGAAAGGCTACAAGATCCTTCTTTAGAATCTATAAAAAAAAATAATTTCTTACGAGAAATATTTTTTAATAGGATTTAAAGCACACAATTGTAATAATTAGCTATTAACATTAATCTTTCTTATATTATCATTGAAAAGAACTGTATTAAATTTTATTAAATATTTGTTTGAATTGTACTAAATATTTTATTTAGTTTATTTTATTTAGTTAAGGTAACTCCGATACATACGCCGCACCAAACAAAAACTTAATTTATTAAATATTATTTACTATGTTTAAGCTAAACGAATTATACCAATGGAAACTTTGTACTGTCTACTACTTTGAAAAAAAAATTAAAAATTCGAAATACTTATTTTTCGTATTAAAAAAAAATTGTTTAAAACTCTTGCATTTTTGCTGTAAATCCCACGGGATGCAATATACGACTATTTGAAGGAGGAGGAAGGGGGTATATATATATATATATATGATTTACAAATAATATTAATAAATAAGACGTAAAATGATACAATAATTTACAAAATGTGTTTACAAAATTTTATAACGAATAAGAATGATAAATATTTATCATTCTTGTAATTATTATTTATTACTTCATATACATATATATGTATAAAGTTATAGATAATAATTACAATCTTTTACATATATTACAAGTATTATGACATATTTCATGTACATATTTCATGTAACGTATTTATTGCATTTAGTGCACTAAATCTAATTTGCGTATTTTGTATGCTTTGGGTATAAATCCCATCCGCTAAAAGTACCATATATCACAAACGAATGGGATATACAAAACATTA